CATCAGAGTGGCTTTGTTGTAACAAACAGGACATAAACCACGGTTAGGTAGGTGGACAACATATATGGTAAACATACAAAGAAAATGTTCAAGCATACGATCAATTTTACACTCATACCTTTAATTTAATTTCTAAAAGAAATATCATGATTATTTTAAAGATTTTTATATTGCCTTCACTTAATAGAAGATTTACATTTAATGGCGTACTTAAATCCTCTTCTTTCAATTTTTTTAACAGCCACGTGCTTGTATTACGATATAGTGGGCAGTTGAAAAATATATGATTTAAATTAGCTATACTAGTTCCACACTTACATCGGTCTGTTGGGAGAACTCTTATTTTGTGTAGATGTTTCGGAAAACATCTATGATCTACTTTTAATCTTAAGCCAGTTGACACTGTGCTTCTGCTTAGTGTAACAATAAATCAGAGCCCCTGCTTTCACCAAACTGAATCCATTGTCTGTCTCATTTAAATTTAATATGTTAATTTATATAGGCAAGTAGGTCACATAAATATGTTAAATTCTTCTATCACCATATGTGGGCGCTGTAATGGATTTTTAGCTATAGAATCAGCAATAGTATTGTCAAAAATATCTGAGTGTACCTTAACCCATAGAAATTTAGTACCATATGGATCTGATAGTTTTAGTAACTGTTGAAAAATTTCTAATATGAATATATTATTGTTATTGATTGTGAATTTATTGTTTTGTAAGGAGTGTAATACTGACAATGAATCACTGCATATGACAATTTTGTTCCACTGGTTTTCACAGCACAATTCAAGGGCTTTGTATATAGCACATGCTTCAACAGAAAAAATGCTAAATTGATTATTTAAAATAAATGATTCATTAATTTTTATTTTTGGTACAAAGTAAGCACTGGTTGTATATGTTGGTGATTTTGACCCGTCTGAATAGATCACAATATGATCTGAACAGCCACTTAAAATGTCTTTAAGAGTAGTGTAGCAAAATTCGTTTTGGTATTTTGGGATAATATTTGTAGCTAGAACACTTGTTAGGTGTGGTATATCCAACGATTCCCAGATAAGGTTACAAGGGGAATTTATTAATTCAGTTCGTTGCAAGTTATAATTGCTCTTGCAAATGGTGGAGAGTAAAAGTAAGAATTTAAAATCAACTATCCGATGAATTTAATATCAACCAAGGTCTAACGTAAGGTGCTGCACATTAAACAACTGGGACAACCAAGTGATAGCTTACATAGATGATATATACATAATATTATGCGGACATTAAAAGACAACCAAAAAGTTTATACATATTTTAAAGAAGCGGCACATACTATGGGTATAGAATTTAATGTTTTAAAGACAAACTACATGAAAACAACTCGGGAAAAAATGCAACTGAAAGGCATCCATATATCTTAAGGCAAGCAAAAATTTGAAAGAGTAGACCATTCTTAATATTTAGAAATAATAGTAACAATAGGAAATAGAAACAGTGATAACATAACAGCGAGACTTTTACTTGTGAACAAATGCTTCTACAGCCTACAGAATATCATAAAGTAAAAAGTATCTATTAATCTATATTCTTAATGTATATCTTAATTCAAAAATAGAAATGTACACAAGAGTTATGTGACCTGTAGTAACATATGCATCAGAAATATGTACTTTGACTAGTAAACAAGAGGAACAACTTCTTAAATTGAAAAGAAAAATTTAAGGTAAATATGTGGATCTGTACAAGACAATGGGTAATGTAATGGGTAAATAAATAGAGCATTTTATTAGACCGACCATCACAAAACTTTCTCGGGAACTCCCGAGAATTTTCAATATTTACTTTCAAAATTTTGTATTGTTCTCTAGTTCGGTCCATTTTGGAATTTTGTAATATTATTTGGTATCCATATTATAATATGTATATTGATCAGTTGGAACAAGTTCAAAATAAATTCCTAAGAATTTGCAGGTATAAAATGGGTTTTATTAGAACTAACTGTGATTATAACTATATTCTTTGTCAACTTAATATGAAAACTTTAGAAAATAGAGAATCTGAGTGTGAATTGCGTTTTTTGCATAAAATTCTTAATGGTTATGTTGATTGTCCGAAACTGCTGGAATTAATTGTTTTTAATGTAAATTCTAGAAGAACACGCTCTCCTGACCTGTTTAGACTAAAGTTTCATCACACTAATTATGGTAAAAGTGAGTCAATCACAAGCATGTTGAGAACTGCCAATAATTTGCAAGATAGTGTTGAATTGTTTAATTTATCCGTGTCCTCGTTCAAGAATAGTTTAAAGAAATTGAGACATTAATGTTATTAATACTTTTTAAAATTGTAATATATGACTATAGTTTATATGTTAATTATATGTGTATATTGTAATTTTTGTAAGGAAAAAGGGTTTATCCCGTTAAATAAACAAACAAACAAACAAACAAACAAAAAATATACCAAGTAAACAACTGAGTTGGTTGGAGCACGTTTAAAGAATGGATGATAAGAGAAATACAAAACAAAGTACTTTATAAAGCATTAAACGAAAAGAGACCGAGAGGTAGGCCCAAAGAGAGATGAATTAATGGTATTAACTAGGATTTAAAAGAACACACGAGAATGGGAAAAACAAGCAAAGTAAAGAAAAATGTGGTCATCTATAGTCAAAAAAGCAAAATATTCATGACACTCAAAAGATTTCCGCAAAAAATACAAATTGGAAAGTACCGATTTTATAAAACGCTGGACTTATTGAGGAGTTATGCTGGCCATAGGGCAGCTAGCAGTAGGGCTGGCCTCAATTCCATGTAAAACTTTAAAGCCTACAAACCCCAACGGGCGTTCTTGGTCCTTTATGGGCTGTCAGTAGTCACAGATGATGAAGATGATGAAATAACCAATATTATCCAGTACAGTTATCCAGTGTAAACAGTAGTGAGTGAATACACACATGTCCAAAAGTTTGGAATACGTACAAATAATAGCTCTACGCCTATGGTGGTTTTAAAACTGTTGTGGATATTCATTCTAGAGCGTTTTTATTATTTTTTTGTATGATTTTGGTTACATTCAACTAATTGGCGTATTTACACATTATTTCAGTCGTTGTTTAAATTTAAATTGAGCTGTTACAAAAAATGCCTAAAAACGTGATATCTAATTTTGACAGAACTAGAGTAATTGCTTTGTTACAACAGGGCTTTAGTCCGTTATATAAAATAAGTTATATCGCGAATTATGTTGATGTTATTTAGAGTGATGTATCGAAAAATAAAAGAATCCAAGATACAAATTACGTCAAGAATTGTCCCAGAAGTGGTAGAAGTCGATGTACAACCGCAGCACAAGACCGTCAAATTAATACCATTGATAGCTCGTAGAAATCGTCTGGAATCTACTAGTGATAAGTAAGGTTTTAATTGACTAGAGAAACGATGCATCATGGTAATAACTGGAATAACGTGATATTTTAAGTTGCGTAAGAAATCTCTGTGGATGCTGATAAGCAAAAAGCAACAACCTGCTCGACAATTACGGATAAGTAACATATTAATTGACCATGTAGAATCTTATGTGTACCTTGGCACCAACGTAAATGCAAAATGGGAACAGGCCATAGAAATTAAGGCGAGAATAGAACGAGCTAGAGCAGCATTTAGCAATATGAAAAAGCTCCTCATAAGCAAGGATTTGTCTCTTCCCCTAAAACTACGTATAGTTAAATGCTACATTTTTCCGATCTTGCTGTATGGCGTGGAGGCCTGGACGCTAACGGAGACGCTAACGAGAAAACTAGAAGCATTCGAAATGTGGGTGTACCGACGCATTCTTCGTATATCCTGGACCGAACATGTCACCAACATAGAGGTACTCCAAAGAATCGGAAAGGAGAAAGAAATCGTGAATACAATTAAACAAAGAAAGCTTGAATATCTAGGCCACATATTGAGACACGATAAGTACCGTCTGCTACAATTGATTGTCCAGGGAAAAATAGACAGTAAGCGGGGGCCAGGCAGGAGAAGACACTCGAGGCTCCAAAATCTGCGGAAGTGGTTCGGGCTCACATCGGTCGAACTATTCAGAAGCACCGCAAACAAGATCAAAATTGCCATGTTAATAGCCAACGTTCGCAACGGACAGGGCACTTGAAGAAGAAGAAGAAGAAATCTCTCCAATCCATTTACATATTATTATGGAGGTGATATATCCATTCATATTATATAATCTCAAGCAGTGTAGAACAATACCATATGTAAAGGGATTAGGAGAATAATTAAAAAGGATGGGAAATAGGTATAATATCACAAGAGCATTCAAAACAACTAACACGCAAATCTTTCCTGTACAAAATCAAACATAACAACACACAAGAACGATATAAAAATACCTTGTAGATGCAATAATTTCTATGTGGAAGAAACCACAAGACCAATAAGTGTAAGGATAAATGAGCATGAAATATTTATCAAAAACATATATGCAAATATGCCAATGATAATGAGCACAGAATAAAAAGAAATATTTTAATAATCATGAAATAAACATCCATGGCAAATAAAAAAAATTAAAGAATTAGCTTTTATTCTACTTAAGGAAGAAAAAGTAGCAACACCATCGACGAAATGTAGCAGACTTTGGCTACCAATACTAAAAAAAGGAATAAAAACCAAAATATATTAACAATAGCGAATCAACATAACTCACAGAAATCGTCTACAATTATACACAATACATAATTAACACATAATCAACATATAACATATGTTATACAGCCTTTTAAAACAAGATTTGCCTATAAGATTGAGTCCAAATAAGTCTACTATCAATTTTTAAACATAACCTCCAACAACAAGAACAAGTATGGCTTTTTAAAATTATAAAGAAAACAATGCAATCTAATACTTTATTTAAAATGTTACTGTCATTTTCTATATCAACCTTTCAGATCAATATAGTATATAGCTTAATTTAATATGCATATATAATGGGTATATGTATATTTACCTCAATATCCCATAACTCCAGAAACACCGAGGAAGTTAATCCAATAATTTTGTTCATACTAAGATCGATCACTTTAAGTTTCGACAGCCCGAAAAATGTCATGTTGTTGATATCGCAAAGCAGATTCTCTGACAAATCCAAATCTAGCACATTTCCCAGACCGGCAAATGCCTTATCTTCAATTTTTGTAATGTTATTTTTATTTAAACGAACATACTTTAACTGCGGCACATTCAGGAAAACTGCCGGGTGAATTAACTTTATATTATTCTCACTTAAATCTAATTCCGTTAGAGAAAGGAGGTTGGAAATAGAGAATTGATCGAGATATTTAATCTGATTTTGCGCTAGAATGAGTTTCTGGAGCGACGTAGAGTTTCCGAATGCGAACTTTTCTATAGTCTCGATAACACCGAAAGTAACTGTTAGGTTTTTTAAAAACAACATCCTCGAGGAAAAGTATTTGGGTATACTACTTAAATCGCCGTTTTTGCTCGATATGACACTGAACTCCGCGAGATACGGTTGCGACTCAATTATTAACTTCCACATAAAATTGTCTTTGGTAACGCTTCCGAATATCCAACACTCCGCTGATGAAACTTGATGATATTTGTCTTTTGTGCAGAAACAACGGATGTTGTCATTATGAGAAGGTTCTAGATTACATATATTGTCCGGGGAAGAGGAAATGGTTTTGCTTTTATTTCTGGAGCGAAGTTCTTTTAACGAGGCCTCGCTGACCCACAGCACTGCCAGAACTGTAGCTAATTTCATATTGGGTATCTGCAACAAAAGATTCAGTTTTATTATACTCGTTTGTATTGTGTAAAGCATGTAAAGTTTATATAACCCCTAAAGTAGAAATTAAAAATATAACTTCTCCTTTGGTGTTTTTGAATCCCCTCATGATATTTACAAATTTGATAAAAAAATAGAGATTCAAACAAATCTGGTAGTATGGGCGCTTAATTTATTATACAATTTTTTAATGTATTAATATTAACCCTACAATGCTCAATTTTTTATTTTGGATTGGAAAAAATTATATGTATAGCTATTTTATACAGAAGTCCGAAAAAAATAATTAAAAAATGTAAAGTTATTTTTTTTAATTTCAGGACATTTTTGGTCATGTATCAAATTTGATACAAAGTGCATTTGGGGAAAATTATATATAGGAAATAAAATTCTTAAATACCTTTGTAATGTAATATTTGGCTTTTTGCATCGGGTTCGATCGCTAGTGTAGATTGGCCAATGTCCTACAGCATCGGTTCGGATATCTTTTGGAGAAATATAACTTGTTGGCCCTATCTTTTTCTTCAATTGTATATCCTGTTCAATAGAACTTGTAGATGGTCTTCCTCGCTTGCTTGATAAATTTTGCATACCTGCTCTGCACAGGCAGTCAGCTACCTCAACTCTGAAATTGACCAACGGCATAGACTTGGTACCATTTTCTTTGCATACTCGTTTATAAAGAATCCAACTATTTACAAGTGTGAAATCTACAAGGTGGAAAAAAATTCGTAAGTACCACTGTACGTTTAATTTTGTATCTACCGATGAGACTGTCTAATAGGTCTACTCCACCCATGTGTCTGTTATATTCTTTGACCAGATGTGGACATGATATCTGGATTTTCTTATTTTCTTTTTTGTCAAACCTAACTTCTTGCATAGGCAACTGTCCAGCAAAATTAGATATAAGTGTAACAGCTTTGTTATCTTTCCAAATAACGGTAGATATATCAACACCTTCTGCATTTGATACATACTCGTAGGATGTTCCTCTTTCTTGCTTCTTTATCTCATTATGTGAAGGCAATTTGCAATTTAGTATTGTTTTAGATAATGCCTGGCCTTAGTTGCACATAGTTGTTCATCTACACATAAATATTGTTCATGAGGTATACTCCCAAATTTCAAATTTATGTTCTACAACATTTCTCAATTTATAAAGACGATCTGTTTGTGGATCATCCTTAGCTTTCATTTTTGAGTTATCTGTAAAATGAATCACTTTTCTGACATGATCAAAAGCATGTTGGCTCATTGTTTCTTTTATTTGGGATACTCCAATATTTTTAGACCAGCAGCAACGTGCATTAGGCAAATGGATGACTGACATATAGAGCAATATTCCAATAAATTTACTGATGTCATTTGTACCAATGTTGGCTGGCTTAGCAGGATTATTTTGATTACTGTATAAATTAGATTGGTTGACAACCTCTAGCAATAGATTGTCGTCAAAAAAATATTTAAAAAATTGAAATGGAGTAGACAATTCTTGTACACATGCAGGTAATGAAGAATCACCTTTGAATGCTAAAACATCTTCATTTAACAGTAAATTTCTTTTTTTCCATAAAATACTTTTGAATTTGTCTTTAAATAAATGCAAATCATTAGGATTTTCATCTAAGTCTTCCCTAATATATTCGTTTTCGGTCTCATTAACGTTTTTATTTAATTCATTTCTTATGTCTCCGATATTCTCTATTTGTTCTCCTATATGTCATTTTTTGCTGTATTTTCCAGATCTGCCCCACTCAACTCATCTTCAAATACCACTGGAATATTTGATATGTCTATATTTTCTAAATCTACATCATCATTTAAGTTCTCAATATCACTTACATCACAATCGTCTTCACTATCACTCCAATTGTCGACCATTTCTTGCAATTCTTTATCTGATAGAGGTTTTTTCATACACCAGTTAGACATCTAAAATAATATCAAATTTACATTCTGTATCATAAATGATACAAATTATTTACCGTACCTCATAAAATAATGGTATATGCTCGATAAAACTAATACTAGATGACTTGGATGTGTAATAAACAGTAAACACAATTTTGCACACTCAATTTTCAATAATAATCACCTACACTTCATCTAATTTATATAACGATGCACGTCATCGGCGTCATAGCCTGTGACGTTACATGATACAAACACAAAATATTTAGGGTGTAGGTGTGTTCTTTTTTAGAATCACTTTACCGAGTACACTGGCATTACAGCCACTAGACATATTTTATTATATACCCGTAGAAATAATATTTAAAAATTTCTATTAATGTTAACTTAAAGAAATACACAATAATATGTATCATTTAATTTGTATAAATGCATTATAAAGCGTTTTTATCAAAAACATTTGTTCGGAACACACTGTAACTGTAATCGAACAAAGCTAAAATTTTGGCATAAATTGGTAACACTTATTTGACAGTTGCGGTGTTGACACTTTTTGTACTTCATTATTTTGAATTTTAAAGTGAATATCTCTTGTTTTATATTTTTAACTATTTAATAAAATCTGTTCTTTTTAGAACAAAATTAGTGTGTTTTATTTCAAAAATGTCACGTAAGAATTTAAAGAGTCGTTGTAAAGAGATGGTAATATTTTTGCAATAATTATGTAATCTATTTGATTTAAAATGGAGTCAGGATTTTTTTATACTTTGGCAACTATGTCAACTTCGATCTCTGAGGTAGATAATAACGTAAGTCGTTATCTAAATTAGATGAAGTATATGTTTCAAAACTCAGCGTTATCGTCAACACGACCGTGAAGTGATAACTGCCCAATTCGCGCGATTTATAAAATATTAGACGACGTTTCAAGGTTACAAAATGTATATATCTAATAGAGTTGTTGTTTGGATTTAATTTTATTTTACTGTGTTTACCGTGTAAATTCTCGGTATGTTTCATATAATACATTGAGCAGTGTAGGGTTAATACAAATAATCGCTTAATATTTTGATTTAGATTTTATCTTTTTCTTTTTTTTTATTGTTCAACTTTAAGTACCCTGCCCACTCCAAACATTGGCTACTAATATGGCAATTAACACGATTTGGACATAAAACAAAATATTTCTGAAAAATTTCTTTTAATAAACAATCTTACAGACTTCTTGGAATGATCTTATGTGACGGTGAATTAATATTGTGATGTATCAATAAAACTTTTACAACCAATGAAAAACAAAGAAGTGTTAAGTACAATACTAAGAAATATTTTTATCATCCAGCCTTCTGCATCCACAGTTGAACATAGGCCTCCCCTAATGTCTTATGGTTCTATCGGTCTTAAAGTTTCTGCAGACAATAATGTCCAGAGATTATTTTGATGTCGTTTGCTCATCGTGTGGATGGTCTACTTTTGCCTGTTCTGTCTATTTGTGATCTGCACATTCTAATTTTTTGGGTCCACTGCTTGTCATTCATTATGGCAACATGGTCCGTTAAGTTTCACTTTAGCCATGCCTTGCGCTCTATAAAATCTGTGACGCCTGTGTTTGGGTTACTATGAGTTTGGTTACTGTAGCTTGGGTTAAGGAAAGTATTTCTGCGTCAATAGACATGACCGAAAGCACACGTTTGTGTCGCAAAGAGAAATTGCTATAAGATTGCTGCGTTCAAATGACACAACATTATATACCGCGTTCCTAGTAGAACGAGCACTGAATCCATATCGTAAGTTACTAAAATAATTGGATTCAAAGTAGGAATAAAATTGTTGTTTGCTAACCTTTTCAATCACTTTTCCAAATTAGAAACAATACCTATAGATCTGTAATTGTCAGTTTTTGGGGAAACACCTTTTTATAGATAGGTAGTACTTTTAAGTATTTTACCAAATACTTCAGGTAACACAAATAAATTATTATAATGAGTGAAAGATGATAAAACTATTTGATATGTTTCTTTTAAATCTTGCTAATAATACTTTTTTCGACAACGGGCCGAAAAAAAAGACTTGCTCGGAGAAGGCTAATTTGTGTAACTATAAAGGACATCAATATTAATAGTGGAAAGGGATGTAATTATATTCTCAGCAAATGTAACAAAAACTTGATTTATTTTGTCTGGGGGTAGATCAGATTGTACCGAAATGGATCTTGTATTGTTTCTTTCGAAATTTACTATTTTTCAGTAGTTTCTAGGTTTATTATTGGAATTAGTAATAAAACCACAATATGCTGACTTTTTACTTTATTGTTGTTTATATACTTTAACCATATCGGGATCCTAAGTGGAATATGTAATTATTGTACTTTTTTGGAAAAAATGCTATAATATTAAGTTGCAATAAGTTTCGGGTAGAAAGAACGTCTAAAAATCAGGATCATTATTGGTATTACAAAAAAAGGTCAACTTTGTACTAGCTAGTCCACGTTGAAACTTCTATCACAGAATAACCATCCCAACAAGAAGCGAAACGGAGGGTTTTTTCGCAATCCAAATTTCTTTGCGCATGTGCGAATCCGCCATGTTTGAATTAGTTTTGCTGTCTTGTTTGTTTATGTAGTAAGAATTGTTTGGTGTTTGTTTTTTAATAGTTAGTATAATTAATTTAGTTACCTATTTTTAGTTAGTTATTTAGTTAGTTAGTTATTTAATATATTTGCGTAATTTGTGATGGCTGCACGAAAGGAAGGATTTTATTGTGTTGTTCGTGGGTGCTCATCGAAAACTGGTAAAGGAATTAGTCTCTTTTCAACACCGACTGATCATAGCAGGTAAACAAATTAAATTTTAAATTCAAACGCGTTAAAAATGTTGTCTGAATGTTTATATTTTAGTTAAATATACTTTTTTTAGAGCTGAATTATGGCTGAAAGCAGTTAACAGGGAAGATCTGCTTTTCAAGCATGATAAACTGCACACTAATTATAAAATGTGCGAGAAACATTTTGAACCGGTATACATGTCTAAAGGAAACACAAAGAAGACCTTATTTGGACAAGCATATCTAATGATTTTCTCGCACAGCTAATATTCAAAACACACAGACGAACCATTAAAAAAAATAATGAGGCTGGAAGGTAGATACTTTTCATTTATTCACAATTATAGTGCTTTATTATAAAAGTCATATAAAAATCAGTATCTACTTATATAAGTTGTTTGTTTTTTTCATAATATAAACAAGATCTGGAATTGTGAAATTCAATGATCTTTTATCAGCCTTATTAAGAACATATATCTTATCGTTACATACTGAGTAATATTTAGGTTTTGGTTTTAAATACAAGTGAAATAAATAATGTACAGCCAGTTACTATTAACAATCCAACTGATGACAAACATAGTACTATACCAGATACTTTGATAGAAGAGTTTTTGGTAACAGGTAATTTTTATTATTGCTCCTACAACTGTATTATGCATTCAACTAATCACTAATAAGTATTAACATATCTACTTTGAACGTTTATATGTTATTTGGTCATTAAATATATTTTTATATTTCAGATGTTGATGTTAATAGGCAGGAAGTGTCTACTCCACATAGGCCCCATACTCCACAATGCTTCACATCAGCTGCAACACAAACCCCCTCAAAGTTATCTGGTGGTATACCCAGAAAAAGAAAAATGAGGTTGAAAATAAAAACTTTGCGAGCAAATGCAAAAATGCATATACCACATCCAAACAGAGGGAAGATAATAAATCTTTCTTAATTAAATATTTTCAAATGTGTGACAAACTTTTAAACAAATCCCTAGCACAAATAGTGAAAGCTCAAGCAATTTTAAAAACTAAATGTCCAAAAAGTAGAAGGTATTCTGATGAATATAAACAATTTGCATTATTATTATATTTTTTGGGCCCAAAAGCCTATCCTTTTATGGAAAGAATATGGTATTTGGCCCTCAAAATGAAGTCTTTAAAAAATTACTGAAAATTTGGTCTGTAAACCTGGTTTGAATAATGACCAAATATTTGATGCCCTAAAGTTAAAAGTGAAGTTAGATCAGGACAAGCACTGTAGTATTTTTATTGATGAATTGTCTATTAAAAGTAATTTATTTTTTGAGACAGGTCGTGACGAGATTGTTGGTCTATATGATATAGGAAATAGGAAAAAGGTATCAATAATTGCACAAAATGTACTTGTTATAATGGTTCGAAGCTTATATTCAAATTGAAAACAACAACTAGCATATTTCTTTGTAAACACTACCTTTGAAGCAAATCACCTTCTTCCTATTATAAAAGAATGTATTTCTAAACTATTTCAATCAGGTTTATATGGGAATTGTCGTGTTACTGATATGGGATCGAATTTTCTAAAATTGAGTCAATTACTGGCGATTTCTCAACTAACTCAGAATTTGATGTCAAGGGACAAAAAATTGTTCATATATTTGATTCATGTCATTTAATTAAAGCCACTAAATAGCTTAATAATGTTTTTTATTTTGATGACAAAAAACATCTTGGTCATTTATAGAAACTTTTTATCATGAAGATAAAACGCAGTTCTATAAGTGTGCACCAAAACTAACACACTACCATATATCCTACATCTTTTTAAAAATGGCAAGTAAAACTAGCACCTCAAATTTTAAGTAACACTGTTCCAAGTTTTACATATACATATATTTTTCTTGGTATTCTCTATCCTCTCTTATGAAAAAAAAAAACTAACTACTACGGCCAACCTAACTCATTTTGAAGTATCCTGACAACATATAGACTTAATTATCACACTTAAAATATCAGGTAAAAAGTTACCAGAAATATTTATAATCTAAAAAGTTGGCCCTTCTTTAAACACTTTATGCTATTTAAAAAAGGCCAAATTGCCTCTGTTTTTGTTCTTTAATACACCATAAAAATGAAGTTTTACAGAATTTATTGCGATTACAA